AATTATAAGTATACTCCAAAATATAAATTATAAACTGTAACGAATGATGCGACATTTTCTAAAGTTGCGTTAGAAATTGAAGGTCTCAGATTTTAAGATGATCACATTGTTTGCACAAGGCGCAAATGACAGGGATGATGGAGGAGGAAATTTGGACTTTCGAGTGGAGCAAGAAATATAGTGAAAAAAATAGAAGTTATTTTGAAAGCATGAATTGAAATGTATAAATTAAATGTGTGAATTATTACTAACTTAATAGCATGATTTGACAATAGATGACCTTGAAGATTGCGGCTATTATTGAAGAGAAAATAAAGGATTGCTTTAATGGAAGCTTCATTAAATAGTAATTGTTAAGTCAACGATTGATTTACAATAACGGAGCAAAAGCAATTTGACAGACAGAAGTGCTCATAAAAATGTTATAAAATATCTGAAATATGAGGTCAACTTCCTGCGCAGTAGCGGTGATATTTTCTGGAATAAAGTAATTGTTATTATTGTCATTGCCGTTGTTGTCGCCATTGTTGTTGTTATTGTTTATTGTTCGAGTACTGGTAATAGTAATGTGAAATGATAAACAAATTGATTGGTTGTTGATATAACATTTTGTTTATTAGCTGAATTTATATATCTGATATCCTATCTTATGCAAAAAACCAATTTGAAAGTTAGCAATTAGAATGTAAAATTTTTGCAATGGAAAAAAGAATTAAAATTTTTTCTAAATCCTGAAATGAAGTTGAAAGTGCCTTCAAAATTGAATTTATAGGTAACAAATTTGTTTACAGCCGAAAATCATGCAATATTTGTGCGAAAAGAGGAGAGCACAAGCTGACATATTACTATTATTGAATTTACTATTATTGAATTGGCCTTACTCTTTAATGAATAATAAGTTGGTTTTCCTCACGCTTCCGACATTTTAATGCTAAATCACTACGTAATACACAAGCAAATACTTGAATATCAATTTGTAAATTTATTTTGACAGGAAAAAACGAAAAGATTTGAATATTTATAAACAGGCCATGATTAATAACGATTTAAATTCTTAATAAAATAAAATGTACTTTTTCTGAAATCTCTGGAATTCTTCTTTTCGAAAATTGTATGAAGATATCCGATTAAATGACTTCCTCACTGATGACATGACTTGCTGCAACTTTTTTTTTCAAAAATTTCAACAAAATTCTGAATGAAATACATTTATTCATCAATTAATGACATATGTTCTTAATTCCTGAAAAGAACTTCTCAAGAAAATTTTTGGATAAATCATTGGATGTAGCAGCTAACAGAATTAATCCAATATTATTGGATGTAGCAGCTAACAGAATTAATAAAACAACTCTGGCATGAAAATTCTTATCCGAAAATTTCTGAAACAAAATTATCAGTGATGCATCGCATATACTTTAATAAATATAAACTTTGCCGCATACTTGCAAAAATAGTTTGTGAATGAATTGGGCATATTTATTTGTATTTTTTGTAAATTATCTGAAAACTATCAAATGCACATTTATATCATTTGATAAGTTCTAATTATTAATTATCAGAAAAAGTGCTCCCAAGCTTTTAACCCTATCACGGCTAAATTAAATTTAATGCAACTTTAATGGTATTCAATCTTAACGTTTATTGGGATAAAGTACAAATTGAAGTCATATTCAAATTCTAATTGTTTAATCCGTGCAGAAATAAAACTGAGGGACAGCGAACAATAAAATATAAGGAAAAATCGGAACAAAAGAAATCGGAACGACATTCTTCAAGTAATGGATAATTTTGCCATGTGGTGTTAAGTATATTTATGTTGAACAAACAAAAAGCTAAGAAGAAATTCTATTAGCGTTAATTAAATTCAATGATTTAAATGAGTGGAAGAAATTGATGAGATCGAAAATAAGCAAGACGAAATGAGATTTACATCATGCAAATCTTTCATATTTCTTTTTTGAAGAAGTTAAAATTGATAAATAGTACTAAATTTTTTGGTTATAATCGATAGTTGCTCGATTTTTGGAACTTCAAAATCCTTTCCTTTTGTGAAAAAAACATATCATAGTTTCTGAGACTGTGGATTGAAAAAGATTGAATGGAAAGATTTAAAAAGAAAAAACAAACTAATCATGAAGTGATTAATTCATCGTTCATTGTTTGATTGCTTTGTATGCTTGGATGACGCATTTTCATAAATTTAAAGCCAGTTTTACTTTCTAAATTTTTAAAATTGCTATAAAATTTTAACAAAAAAAAGTCTCTTTGAAACAATTTTAGTTAATTTCATACCAATTTCAAGTATTTTGGAAATATTTCATTTTTAATTATGTGCAGCTGAAAACATTTTTAAGATATATTATTTCATATGGACTGCTTTTTGACAATTTCTGAACTTTTTTTACACTTTGTAATGATTGCAGCAATTGCATTCTGTTCGTGATTTTAGCACTCCAATCTCCGTTAAGACAAAAGAATTCAAAAATCACTTCAAACAATAGCTTCAGGCAATTGAAATTATACAGCAATCTCGTTTCACATCATCCACTGAAAGTGTGCCGTTGTCTTCTCACAATTCCTTTATTGCAAATACTTTTTAAATTTCGAAGAATGTTGCTTGGGGACATTTTTTTGCTAAAATTGATCAACTTTAAAAAAAAAATAATAAAATGCTGCTCTTTAACAAATACCGCTTTGAATAGTTTTGAAGCAGAAAAAATAAGAGTGAAATGGTAGTTATTATTTATTATAGCATTTTGATTTTTTGGACTTCTGAATGTTTAATTCTTAGAGCCATTTCGAGAAATTATTTCTGTTGTGGACAAAAGAATAAATTCATCTTCGAAAAGGGGTAAAAAGTTTTTTCTTTATTAGCTTAACAGTAAAATGAACATATCAATAATTATTGTTTAATATGATAAGAAGCACTGTTTAATGTACGCAGTGATGCAAACCAGTAATTTTATCAACATGAAATTATTCTTCAAATAAAAAATTACGCAACGATAAATGTGAAATATGTTGAAATTAAAAAAAAAAAATTCTGACCAGTTAGTAGAGACAATAAAAAAATTAAAATTCTAACAAATAAATTATTTTGCATACAAAAATACTCATCTATTACTAAAATACCAATGTATGATAAATTTTTATGTGAAAATTTGCAAAATTAACTTCTATCCTGCTTTTTTCCTTTATCAAATTTATCGTTTTTTATCTTTGCTCAATAATTGAAGAGAGAAATGAAATATGAAAAAGTTGAAAGATTGAAAAGAGGAAGTTGTCAAAGAGAGAGAGAGAGAAAGAGAGAATAATTTTGCTAGAGGGCATTATTTGGTGTACAATTACTTTTTCTATGATACCCTTCCAATGATATCGTTGCACTGTTACCAACCAATGCTACTGCAAGAAGCACGATGAAAGGCGCCAATATGATATGATTTATTGATAAAATGAAATTTTTTCTCAACCTTTTTTTTGAAAAATTTCATGAAGTGAGATGGAATTTCACAGTAAAACTTGTTGTGTGTATTTTTTTTAGGAAAACTAGCACAGACAAATCTACAAGCTGTTATTATATTTAGAAATTTTAAATTGGATAGAATTAAATGAAATCGAGTAACTGAAATTGATTGGATTGATAATGGGTTAATCTATGATTGCACAAAATTGTAATTGCTATTGTTTAATTCTGCTTTGAAATGGTTTTTAAATTAGCTGAATGTAACGATGCGATAAATGATATCGAATGTAATTTGTGTTGCAATTGCAATAATAGTTTAAATTCATTAACGACTTCAATGTATTACTTTGCAGATGTTTGCAGGCATAAATAACGGAACAAAAATGAAGTTTCTGTTAAAGTGGAAGACAGAAACTTTAAAATCATAATTATTACTTATTTACTAACAATTATTAAGGAGGCCAGAGCACTACGAAATCCAGCGTTCAATTGAAAATAGTACTATCGATGTTGACATTTTAAATTTAAATTTTTTTAGAAGAATTGAGAAGCAACAAATCTTCTAAAAATTTCATTCTTTTCGGAAAAAATTGACAGAAATGCAATTTTGTTGATAATAAATTGATAAAGTTGATAAGTAAGGAAAGACTAAAAGATGTTCATGAAAATTCACTCCTAGCAATCTTCTGCCCACTTTTTTAACAGGAAAGCTTTATTATTGTTATTGGCTATTGTCCACCTGACCTTTAAGTGTCCTCATAATTTATATCATATATCAGATTTATTTATATCATATATCAGATTTATATCATATATCAGAAACAGACCTTCTATTAATTTTTAACTGCAGAAACAATTAAGAATGTTAATTATAAAGTGTGAAACTATTCGTTCATTGCAAAAATCAGGTGAGGTTTACTTAAGAAGGATGAGTAATGACTGTTTAATCCATTGGTTTTGATCATTCAAATTCTAACATTTAATGCAAATTACTTACTCAAAGAGCTTCAAGTTATTAAGACAACTATCTTCAAAAGCAGCTTAATTCAATGATTTTAAAAATTTTCGAAGTATGGAATAGCTAAGTAATTTTAGTTAAAGTGAATTTTGTAATTTAATTTCCTTCACATTTAATTCGCAACAATTTTGCAACTCATCCTATTAATCGGTGAGTCAAAGTTCACGTTCGTAATCCCACTTAAAACATCATTCATATATACCAGTTTTTCAACCATTTCATGTAATCTGTAGTCAAATCATGTCAATTTTTGTCACTCAAACATGAGTTCCATATCGTGTTCCACTCCATTCCAACCACACAAACAAAGAGGGGAATGACCATTTGAAAGAAAGAATATTTGCAAGTGCTACCGTTGAACATCTGTTGCAAAATTTGTTCTTCTCTGCATAACTCTACGATTAGTATTTCTACCCATGTGTGCATGTGTACATCCACATAGCATGGCGTGCACGTGTGTGTATGTATGCGTTCGTTTACGTGTATGCCTGTGCATTATGTGTGCCGTTTGCGTGTATGTATGTGGGTGAGATCAGTGGGTGTGCATGCCATGCTATGGCATGCACACCCACTTACGAGAAAGTGTATGCATATATGCGTGTATGGGTATGTATGGGTGTGTCTGTCTGCCACAGAAATACGTCTACATGTTATTCATCAAACATTCCATTTTTTTTTATTCAAAAATCACTACTAGTAATTTGTCTTTTCTTTAAACTTTTCAATGAGAGAAGTAAAGAAATGTGGAAGTGATGAGAAATACTGATCGTTGTCGGACTCATCCATATGTTATAATTATCTTTCCAATCAATTTTTCCATCGTTCTCATTTTCAACAGATCATTATCACTCTTTACAGTCTTAAATTAGTCCAATTACTTGTTACATCTAATAGCTGATGAAATCGAATTTTTTTAATTTAAAAAAAATTTCTATAAAAATGTAGCTATTACTTATTTAAACGATCATTTGCAGTGGAGCCATCTAACAATAGCACTAATGCGCCTAATTCTGATTCCATTCCTACTGCTACTATTGCTAGCTGCATTTTAGCGCTTCAATGCATTACTACTGAAACGATGATACTAAACTTCACTCTCTCATTGCTAATTACCAGTCCAAATTAACCGCTTTCTTTGTCATCGTCTGTGGTTAATATCACTGTGATTTCTTTTGTTTTGACATAAACCGGCATTAGATTAACGATTATTATGATCCTCTTGAATTATTATCAAAAACAAAGATCACACATTCTGAGCCATCCTTCCCGACAGAAAGAAATACGCCGTTTTGTTAGTTTGAGAGAGCTGTAGTTTAATAATGTGAAAATGATTATATTTGCATGGAGTAGCATTATTAGTAGCATTCTCTCATCATCAACGCCTTCCAAACATTTCTTCTTTTCTTCCTGAAGCACCGCCCGAATACATTTACCAACCAATTTTCATCGATGCGTCCATTTTTGTCATCTCATACCTTCCATTCCAAGTTTTATAGATCGATTGGATGATCTATCGTTAATGTCACATTCACTCTGTCTCAGTGTATTTCTCAACTCTTAAAAGCAATAAGCTTTTAAGCAGTGCTTTCAGCAATTATTATTCGAATTAAAGCTTTATATCAAAGCTACAATCAAACAATGTCAAATATAAAAAAGCAGCTATTGCTGCAAGCCGTTTTATTATCCTTCTTATCACCTGCAGTAAATGGTAGGTTTTCAAGTAAAATGATATCTTTCATCCTTATTATTACTGCAACTAATCCGTAACTTTGCAACAAATTCTACGAAGAACACGAACTAATAAATTTAAAGTAGATCTATTAATTAAGTAGGGCGAATAATCAATCACTTTTGTATGCTTTTAGAAGTTTTTAAAGCATTTACAAATTTTCATATATTTTTAAGCTTAAGTAAGCTTATTTAAATTTAGCAAGGATGGAAAAAAAGAATTTTACATCATTTCCTGAGCAATTTTTTATTACAATTTTCAAAAAATGCTTTTGTGAGATATAAATGTAAAGATGAGAAATAATTTAATTCAATTTTCCTTTTCGAAATAAATATTTTTGATGATCACTTCTCATTAATATTGTGCTTTTATTTTAAGTCCTTTTGAAATCCAGTATTGAATAAATGAAACTTTCAGATTTAGCTTCTTTTTAGCAATTACATTTTAAAGCATGAAGAATTCTCCTTCAAAGCACCACTTTCTGGAAACATTTTCATTGATTATTTGATAGCTAGCGCTTTCTAATATATCAGTTGATTGAATCACTTCAATACAATCACAATAGCAAAATCAAACATCATTAAATTAATAACCTCTCTGAGTGTAATGGTTTGCTTGGGAATTGATGCTTAAAATTTGGAAGAAATTAACATAATTTATGAAGTTTTCGAAATGGAATTTTATGCAAGAAATGAAGGATTTGCATGTTTGCATTGCATGCAAAGCAAATTTATAGGTCAAATTAGTTCATTCCTCTATAAGATCAAAGATTATCCAAAGATCGCACAAGAAGATCAATTATCTTAACAGAAATGATGCATGAATTAAGAAGTAGAGAAATCAAAACTATCCCTGTAATATTTCTAAAAATACAGGTCTCGAAAGGATCTCTGAGTATCAGCGCTACGATGGCTGGTTCAATAATCTTGCCAATCCTCATTGGGGTACAGTCGGTAAGCATTTATTCTCTTTTAAAATACGAAGAAAAAAGATTCTATTATTATTAATACTCTTTCCCTCTGTTGATGTTTATAGTAACCGATCGATAAATATGATTTTTTAGCCTTTCGAATTTTAATTCTACATCTTCATAACTTATGAACTTATGAATATAACTTATGAATACGTAGAATTCACTACTTGAAATGTTATTAATTTGTTGTCATCGAATGAAAATCCTTTATTATCAATGATTTTACAGTAGTAAACAAAGAAAAATGAACATCTGTTGATGAATAATAAATTAACTGATTCTGAAATGTTTTAGAATTATACACCTTTTCAATTTTGCAGAAAAAAAATTTCCGTATGAAATTATTTCAAAGTTTTACACCTAAAATTTCAGGATCACATTTGCACCGCGATGCACCCAGCCAATATCAGGATGGTGTTTACATGCTTAATACTAATTTACCATCAGCACGAGCTATTTCAGAATTAGTCTTCAAAGGTCCATCTGGAATAGCAAACAAACGAAATGTCACCACAATGCTTGCTTTTTTCAGTAATTTTTGAAATATTTCAAAATTAATTTTGAATGAATGATATTAAGGAAAAATAGGAAAAAGCACAATTTTGTCCGAATTATTAAAGCAATATTGATAGGATGGCTTTAATTCCTTCTTTATTTTCTCTTTTTTTTGTTCTCAATTTTGTACTTTTTCATGAAAAATGTGTAGAATGAGAAATTTTCTGGTAAATAACTTAACAATTCTCAAAACAATTTCTTTCACTTCTGGGAATTTCTTTTTAAATCACTTCAACTTGAAAAAAAAAAGGAAATCATTCCGAAAAGAATCCCTTCATCTCTTTCTCTTTTGCATTTCTACAAAATGAATAAAAATTACAAAAATTAACAATGGATGAGTTATGAACGTGTGTGTGTGTGTGTGTGTGTATGTGTGTGTGTGTG